CGGCTGCGGCAGCTGGCGCCCCAGATGGAAGGCGCAATCGGCCCCCCGCCTGCACAGATGTTAATGGCCGTGATGTCATCATTGGGTGCCCTGGCTGGCAGCACTCTAGGCAACTGCCTAGTTTGCCTAGGCTCATGGGCTGCCCCTGAACATAACCTATGAAGGAAGACTGAAAGAATTGGGCTTGTTTAGTTTGGAAAAGAGAAGATTGAGAGGGGACATGATAGCAATTTTCAGGTATCTAAAAGGGTGTCACAAGGAGGAAGGAGAAAACTTGTCCTTCCTGGTCTCTGAGGGTAGAACAAGAAGCAAAGGGCTTAAACTGCAGCAAAGGAGGTTTAGGTTGGACATTAAGAAAAGGTCCCTGTCAGGGTGGTTAAACACTGGAATAAATTACCTAGGGAGGTTGTGGAATCTCCATCTCTGGAGATATTTAAAAGTAGGTTAGATAAATGTCTATCAGGGATAGTCTAGACAGTACTGAGTCCTGCTATGAGGGCAGAGGACTGGACGACGTCTCGAGGTCCCTTCCAGTCCTAGTATTCTATTATTCTATGAACTATCCAGAATGACTCCAAGATCTCTCTCTTGAATAATTGTAGCTGAATTAGTACCCATCGTATTGTATGTATAGTTGGAAATATTTTTTCCAATGTGCATTACTTTACGTTTATCAACATTAAATTTCATTTGCCATTTTGTTGCCCAGTCACTTAATTTGGCGAGATCTTTTCAAAGCTCTTCAGAGTCTGTTTTGGTCTTAACTACCCTGAGCAGTTTAGTATCATCTGCAAATTTTGCCACCTCACCCTTTACCCCTTTCTCTAGATCATTTATAAATAAGTTGAATAGGATTGGTCTCAGGACGGATCCTTGGGGAACCTCACTAGTTACCTCTCTCCCCTTCGAAAGCTTACAGTTTATTTCTACCCTTTGTTTCTTGTCTTTTAACCAGTTATCAATCCACAAAAGGACCTTCCCTCTTATCCCATGACAACTTACTTAAGAGCCTTTGGTGAGGGACCTTGTCAAAAGCTTTCTGGAAATCTAAGTACACTATATCCACTGGATTCCGCCTTGTCCACATGTTTGTTGACCCCCTCAAAGAACTCTAGTAGATTAGTAAGCCATGATTTCCCTTTACAGAAACCATGTTGACTTCCCCCCAACAAATTATGTTAATTATGTGTCTAACAATTTTATTCTTTACTATAGTTTCAACTAATTTGCCGAGTACTGTCAGACTTATCAGGATAAAATCCAAAATAGGCTTTTTACAAAAACATCTACAATTTTCAAGCCAATTTTCTAACCGTTTTGGGTCTGCCTTCTCTTTT